CTCTTTGTGTGTTCCTTCTTTTTCCTGGGAAAGAATATGATCTCGACTCTCGAATTATGGCCCATTCGAAGCATAGGGAAACTTCAAGATGGGGTGCGTCGATCGTGAGGACAAAATAAAATGGTAGTGGGTTAATTGCAACACGAAAAAACAGGTGTTCCTCCACGGATGCAATTTGACGGAGGAAAAGGAGATCAAGGATTCTGTTTCTCTTTGTGGTGGAGATTTCTCTTGGGTCCAATTGTGGAACATTGACGCAACATTTCAACATAGAATATAAAGACGAGAGTATAAACAAAAAAAGTAAAAAATAATTGTTAGACTTTTTTTGTTTCATTTACTTCTTAATATTTATCTGATTAAATTATTAAAATATGAACATGTCTTATAAGTGGATAAAAATAATATTATTTGTTACTCACTCAGTTAAGATTTAGAGGTTTTTCATTTTATTTTTTAAAAATTGTAGTTTGTTAAAAAAAAAATATTAAAATATAATATAAATATAATTAATTTAGTTAATTTTTATATTATATATTGTTATATTTTTTAATTAATTAATTTTTAATTTTATATAATAAAATAATAATTTTTAATAAATATATTATGTAATATATTAAAGTAAAAATATATCAAATCAATATCTTACAAAAAAAAAAAGAGTATTAATTAACTTTTTTAATTTAAATTAATTGAATAAATCTACTTCATTTTTTTTTAATGCATAGAGCAAGCCAATGATTTGACCCGCAAGTGAGAAAATCATTTCATCCATCCAAACTCTAATTATAAGTATCTCAAAAATAATAGAATATAAGTATCAGTAGTACTTGTTTAGTCTAATTTTTTAAAAATATATTTTTTAGAAAAAGTCAAAGCTCGACTAAAAATAATTTTTTGAGAAGTGCTTTTTGATTATTTAAAAAAAAAAAAACTATTTCTAATCCCTTAAAGGCAGAAATTGTAAACTTGTAACTTTTAAATAAAGTTTATATTGTTAAGTTTTTGAAATAAAACTTTTATTAATTGTTAAACCTCATGTCTTTATAGATGATACTTTGCCCACCAAAAAAACCAAAAAACTCATGTACGTCTTTCTATGTATATCCACCTCAATTTACAAATTAATATGTGTTATATAAATATTTTAAAATTTTATATTCACTAACTTCAAATTATAAGTAATTAAATTAAAATTTTTTATTTATTTTAAAATTTTTATAATTTATATAAAAATTTATAATTAAACACTTCTATGAAAAAATTCTATTCAAATTACACAATTCTGCCAAAGCACGGTAAAGTAATCAACAATTGACAACTTGAGATTAAATATTTGGAGACTTTTACAACTTTGTTAGGCATGTTTTTCGCACTGACATCTAATGTCATAAAATAGGAACCGGCAATGCATATTGGTGTTTCTCTCAAGTCATTATAATTGTCGGTAACCTTGTTTGTATTGTATGTTGATTGCGATATTTAAATATGATGAAAATTGTAGAATTTTCTAGGCTGAAACTCGACAATTTTCCCTGTCCAAAAGAAGCTTCATTATTAATATTTTGGGGTTCAAATCGATCAGATACTTTTTATATATGAGGACCGCAAATGTCAATTTCTCTTTATTTTCATCTCCTTTTCATCAATCGGAAAGCTAAATACACAGAACAAAGAACCTAATCGGCGCCAATATGTGATTGGAAGAAAAAGAAATTAATACAAAAATCCACCAACAAGATCAATCTTTGTGTCTTAACATGTTTGGTGACTTGCATCTTGTTAACAAAGACATTTCCATTACTTTTCACAAGCATTACCGTATCTGGCCCATGATAATAGTTTTTTTAAATATTTTTTTAATATTTTTTAAACTAATTTGAAGATAATTCATACTTTTAATATATTACGTATGAGAAATAAATAAAGATAAAAAAAAAATTGATAATAGAATGAATAATTAAAATCAGGAGATAACAATAGAGGTAAAGTAGAAAAAAATATTTCCCTTAAAATAAAAAAATGTGAAGATTAATTTACAATAAATTTTGAGAAAAAAAATAACTATTACTGCAAGACAAAAGAAGTATTTAATATTTGAAACAAAAAAAAAATATATATATATATATATATAAATATATATACACACAATACTAGATATATATATATAAAATGTTCTATGTAATCCAAATAATACTGTATATCACAAAATTATTAAATGGGGTGAGAAACCTTTTATAAGTGTGAATCTAGTCTTACTTTTACAGTTTAGCATAAAATACCTTGCAAAACCAAAAACTAAATATATTAATTCATTAGGTACTATATAAATATAATATTATTAATTATTAAATTTATATAATAAATATACATATATACATATATATAACGAATAACAACAACAAAAATACTAAGGAGCTATAAGAAAAGAATGGTTTCTTTAATTTTTCTTAATTTTAATTTAAATTATATTACATTATGTGTTAACTGGCCTGGTTTCCTTGTTAGAACAGTAAAATACATAAATATTGTCCAAGCAATACTAGGATTCTAAGAAAATTTAAGAATCGAATTTTAGTTAACACACGTACGTATAGATACGAATCAAAATTAAAATCTTTTGGTAAAGGCAATCATCTACTGTACTTTGGCTTTAATTCCATGGCTTCCGATGCACTTGGATATTAAAAGGCTGGGCACTGGGCGGTGGTGATGTAGAAAGGGAATAATTATTGCTACGTGAATAGGAAATTAAAAAAATAAAATAAAAAAAGCAATACTATGATTGGAACACTATTTATAATTGTGAGTTTATAATTTAAAAAAACAAAAACGAAAACAAAAACAAAACACAACTTCTATTATTATTATTTTTATGCACATTATTATTTTATTAAATATAAGGGATATTCATTCCATTCTTAAGTACTGGTGCTGCATAGACGAGAATTGAGGAGCCAGTTCGATATATAGAAATTTTTAATTATAAATTTTCGATTGTAACATATCAATAAATAAATAAATTTATAAACAAAAAAATTAATTATATAATAATAAATTATACTATATATTTATAATATCAAATAATATTATAATTATAATATTTTCGTTAAGAAAAAAAACTATCATGAAGTGTGCAAACTGTAGAACATATTGACATCTCCTATGTTTTTTTGAAGTCCAATCTCGGAAAAGGAATGATGGCCAAAGAAAGAAAAAAAATACCTTTAGAAAAAGGAAGTAAAAGCTAAATATAAAATAAATGAAATTTCCCTTTCAAAACCGTCCATACATGATTGCATAACTCTTTATAATTAGGCATATAATAATATTATTATTTTTCCCGCCATTGGTTGTAAAAAGTTAAAACATATCCCGGTTGCTCAGGAATAAATCTTGTGGGTTTTCTTTTTCCATATATTTTTTCTTAACGAACAAGTTTTATTTTTTTATTTTGGTAATTTGGATGGTCTATGTATTTTTGAGTTAGTTTACATAAACGTTGAAATTAATCTTTTTTTAGTAGATTTCAAAGATGCATCCCAATAAACTTCATGCATTTAAAAAAATAGAATTTCTAGATTATGTTTAAACTTAAACTTTATAGATTTCTTGTCTTGATGTATTTGATGGTAGATTTTTCAAATTTGAAGATTAGAAATAGGAATTAAAAAGTAATTTTTTGCATACTTAAAATAGTAATTAAAGCCTAATTTTTTTTAATAAAAATTAGAATCTAATTGAGCTTGTAGCTCAATTAGTTGTTCCTGAACTCATTAGTATAGGTGGCGCGTGTTGGAATCTCATGTCTTTAAAAGTATATTTGATTTGAAGGAATTGAAAGAAGATAGTAGGGGTGAGTTTTTTAATTAATTAAATTATAATTATTGTCAATATTACAATTCAATTAATAAAAAAATTCATCTCTCTTTTTTATTTCTTTTAAACCAAGCATGCCTTAAAAGCTTCAAATCTATGTTTAGTTTAAAAAAAAAGAGAGGATATGAGAAAATTCCTTCCTAAATACAAAAAAATTGGAGAAAAAAAAGGAGGGGAGGAGCAAGGCTTCCCTTTTATGTTTTGCTTTAATTTTATTTGTACATTTTAATATATTAAAATCAAGGGAAAGGAGGGGAGGGTTTCTCCTCCCTCTCTGTTTCACTCAAATTAAATAAGTTTTAAATATCCAAAAATAAATAAGTAGAAGAAAACACTCCTTTGTCCTCTTTTATTATAATAATTATTATTATTTTGGCCTTTTCACCTCCTTGTCCTTAATAATATGTTTAAATAATAGAGAGAAACGAAGGTGTGAGGAGGGGAAAAAAACTTTTTTATTTAGTTATCAAAAGAATTGAAAAGAAATGGACGAAAAGTTTTTTCTTTTAATTAATTAATTTATTCAAATAAAAAAAAAAGGAAAGAGAGAGAAATGGAGAGAAATAAAAAGATATAAGTCCCTTATCCTTAATTCCCTCCAACTCAAATATATGGTTAAAACTACTTATATTAGCCAGAGAGAATTAATTTGTTACCTATAATAAATTAAACTATCAATCGTGGCTTGTCGGTAACTTACACATTGATCAATTAAAGGTCTCAATGCTAATGTTATTAAAAAATTACCATATTATTTAAAATAATTTAAAAATGTTTAGTTGATGAGACAATGTTTTTTTAATCAACCTTACCTCAATTATACGTTTTATAATTATTAATAAAGAAATTTATTTTTTTATCAATAATTATAGGATATGTAATTTGTCCTCACTTTTTTTTTTCAATTAATTACCTTAAAATTTTTTGAAGAAGTTTTGCCATTTTAGAATAGACACAAAAGGAAGATGATTGGAAAAGATAACTCTCCATGTCCGTACTAAACTCGAAAGCAGTAATTTACACCGGCTAGCAAAGTGGACAAAAGAAAGAAATACACATAATAGAACAGAGAAATGCTCTATAATATGTCTCCTACTCATTTCTCAGTCTGCGGTTTCTTGCACCTTGAAGCCGAATCTGTCTATTGAATCTCTCAATAAACTCTTCGACTCTCCTATTCAGCTCCTCATCCGACATGGTAGAAAACTCATTAATCTCTTCCATTCTTGGTCCATCGTGATGTTTCTCAGTATCTGACCTTTGAAGACTGCTCTTAATACTCTCCTTAACGACCTTTACGGGTCTCCCTCTATCCGATTTGCTCCGCCGGAAAGTTTTTAGGTCAATACTCTTCACCTCAAAAGCTCCATCATCATCATCCGGTACATTTTCTTCCACATTTGTTTTTACAGATACATCGTGACAAGACACCATACACCTCCTGACATCAACAGTTTTACGAGTAAAGTTTTCAGGTTCGTCCTGAACAACTTCCAATACTCTTTCCTCGATTTCACCCTTATTCTCTGACGACAACAAAGCCTCTGCTTCCTCTTTAGGAGTGCTCTCCCTCTCAATCTCCGAATACTGGGAAACAGAAGAAGCAGCAATATTTCTCGTCTGGTTGCGTAGTACGTACTCGTCATACAGGTCGATTTTCGCTTTAGACGAAGAAAAGGCTCCATAATCAGCCGCAATAATGAGAATGATAGTGTTGGAAATGAAGAACCAGAACTTAGTATTGTTGAACAAAGCATAAGGGGAGAGCTTGAAGATGTAGAAGACAGAAATGTAAATCAGCATGGAGAAAACAAAGGCCAAGAAAGACATTCCTCTAGCCATCTGAGGATAGTCCTTGGATTTGTAGAAAGTCTCCATGGGATTTGGTGGGGTTTTAATCATGTTTGGATGGAGAGAAAATTTTGAGCTTAGGGGAGAGGTTTTTAAATTGTGGTTGGTGAGTTTTTTCATGTTCAAGGGGCTTTTATAGTGTCCAAGGTGGCAAATAATTGAACCTCCATAATCACAATTTTCTCCTAAAATATTCAGTTTATTTACTTTTATGCCCTAGGAAAGTCAATTTCTAGAGGCCAGATCATCCGGACACCAATTCAAAACGACAGGTGGCAATCTGGGCCCACCAAATAATTTTGATAATTTTGGACCTCTATTCACTAAATTAAAAAAAAGGGAGAGTTGAGTTATCCTCATATGTACAGTGCTACTTTCATGCTAAACGGATCATACACTGTCGTTTTGACACATGATTGATTCCACGTGTCATCGTGCCTTCACCCGGTCCCACCTTTGTCGCATGATCTAACAATCAACGGCTAGTGGCTTATCTTTATCTCATAATATGCTTATCGGAAAAAGGTGATATAGTCTCACTATGATAATGTTCTTTTTGTTAAAGTAAAAAATTTTAAAAAGAGATAAAAATTTATTTTTTATTATATAATTTAAAATTTTAAAAATATAATGCATAATTTATCTTACATAAATTATATATCTTATAATTATTAATAAAATTAAAATGGTCTTCTTTTCATGAATAACTACAAATGTGTAATCCGCATATAACATTACAAAACAACAATTTCATATGGATATTAATGACCTGCTGGTCAAAGTAAAAAAAAA